GAGAGAGAGAGAGAGAGAGAGAGAGAGAGAGAGTTAGGATGTACGTTAACTTTGTAAATTTATCTTAAAAACAATTGAATTAAGTCACTTAATATGCATATACATATATACAAGTCATACTTCAAGAATTGAGATAACCGATGTGGAACAAGCGCTACCTAATCAGAATCTATAGTTCATCTTGGTAATTGTCTATTCTAGTGGGCTTGCTAGTTTAACAAGTATATGTGGAGGGAGTGTTGGGAAGTTTCACATTCTCTGTCTCAACTCTTAAGTACAACTTATATACTTGTTATTTCGTCTAATGTTAGTTAGTTTTCAAATGAAATCTGACATGGTATTAGAACTAAGCTCATCTAAGTAAATAGTCTATTCTAAAAGTTTAATTCTATCAAATCTGATACTTGAGACCTGTTCTCATATATGGTTGTTGAATATTGAACAAAAAAAAAAATTAAATTGACACATCTACAGGATTATCATAAAGTCAACTACAACGTCTATATAAGAGACATGAAATAAGAAAACTTTTTAATTTGAGAGAAGAAGCTCATCTCAACCCCTACATCTCCCATGAATGGTTAAGATTAACATATAATCTTCATTTAACTTCTAATTTTTCACTAGTATAGTTTATGATCAATATTTGCTTCAGTCATTGAAATAAAAATGGTCCCTTCACTTGTTATATCTCTTATATATACAGTCTCCTTTGTTTAAGCATCTTACCCGTTGTTCAAGCCCACTAGCTTCAGATTTCAACGTTAGTGATTCCAGTAAGTCTATGGCTTCTTGAAACCCATCAGTAGCTAACTTTTCCTCCCCAAGATTTCTGTCCACATCCGCAACTTTTGCAAGAGAAACAGCAACATCTAGAACCTATAAAGTTTTTAAAAACAATGAAAAAGAGAACCAGTTAATTATCAAAATTACGGTTGAGTTGTTTCAGAAGAAAATCAAAATAAAACTGCAAAGTATCAATAGTCATAAAAAAACTCATGGCAGACTGTAAAGCTGGGAACATAAAGGGTGAATTTTGCCTGAGATTTAATTTCATAAATTTCTTCCATATCTCTCCAAACTTTTAATAAATCGTCTTAGGTGGTCAACTTATGACATTTTACATCAATCTACAAACCAACATAGTAAAGCTTGCACCAGACCCAAAGAAAAGTAAGAGACTTGAATGATTACATAAAATAAAATAAAATGTTCAAACAAACTGCATTTAGATAGTAATATCCAACCTGGGATGGAACTTTAGAATTCTGGTTGACAACATCCCGGCGAACATCCAAAGATTTAAAATAGTAAGATCTTGCAGCTTGAAGATCTCCATCATAATATTTAAGATCTCCAATTTTGTTAAGTGAAACAGAAAGTGTATGTGTAATCTGTAGGACAAGGAATTTAAAATATTAAATTAACAAACAATCAAACGAGAAAAGTGTTATGTTGAAGTTTGAAAAAAGCAATGTTCAGATGAAAAGACCTCCATATCATCTTTTGGCAACTTGGACAGAAATTGAACACTTTCTTCAAAATAAGAAACTGCAGAACTGGCATCACCCATTGCTCGGCTGCAAAAAAAGAATGTATGTTGGTCACAATCTACCTCCATTAAACATGTCACAGAACAATATGCTTTCACCATTTTGTTATAGAGTAAAAAATATTATTAGAGAAGAAACAAGTGAAGATAAGGCATAGAAAAAGATAACTGGAAAAGAAAACAAAATGACAGACAAGAAAGTGTAAATAAGACAATAAAAATCTCTTTAAACGTCAACTTTCAAAACCTCTCTAAAATAATGATTAGCTAAGCACCAAAAAAAAAACACACAGCCATAAAACAAAGTAAGGCTATAGTTCTCTAAATGTATTAAACCAGGCAATTATTTAAAAATACAAATTTGCAACCATGCAATAAGTTCAAGGACCTTTTGTCACACATATAACCCAGAGTAATGATGAAGCACAAACACTAGAAAAAAAAAAGAAAAATTAGAACTCCATCTGATTGTAGTAATTTACACTAGACACCAAAACACCTACGCTAGCAAATACAAGGCAAACAATTCTAATACGCATAAATAGTCAAAACTGAAAATTTCTCAAAATTTAAGATACATTTATCACTAATAATTAGTTTGATTTGTACTTGATTATTATAATTCAATATTTCCAATTTATCTTAAAATCACGAAAGGAAGATAATAGTGACAAAGTTATTTAGATCATAATTAGTCACATTAAAACCTCAAGTTTTTGTAGATAATTATTAAATTTTATAAGCAATATGTTTCTTTTACACTAAAATGATGTCACATTGATTTCAATAGCAGATCTAGGATTTACATACATTTATTTAAGTATAGATTTCTATCAGAGATACTAAACTAAACTTGCCTTTAAGATGATTGGTCCTCAATACTTTCATAACCACCTTGATTAAGTATTCAGATTTATTCTTGCAGCCCTTAATCTTCAAGGAACGTTGAATTTTAGCACATCAAAAAATATGTATGTGTTTTGAACATGTGGATTGGATATGTTAGCAATATAAAACTAATTTAGAGTCTTAACATAAGGGTGTAAGTAATATCAGTCACCTTGACTGTTTTAATTTCTAACTAATCTCCTGAACTTTGATTGAGTTTCAACTGAAGCTCATGACATGATGTCATCATCAAAAAGTCACCTTGACTGTTTTCATCCCTAATCCTGCCTTAATTGAAGGTTACCAAAGTTGGTTGTCAATGTCTCAGAAAAAAGCTACCTACAAAGAGATTGACCAGGAAGGTTGAATGCAGCAACTTAGTGTGTAGCCACCGAAACAACAACTCTTAGGGATAGAAATTCTACATCACTATAGATAAGGTCTAAACAGTGCTTATAAAGCTTGGAAATCCTTACTGTACAAGTCATGAAGTAGAGTCAGTTCCTAAGCTCAACTCCTAAAATGGTATTAGAGATTGTCCTAGATCCATTGTTGGACTACCTGCATTGTCATGCTCCAAGCTCATAACCTTCGGTGTGAGGGTATACTTTCGAAAGCTGCCTTAATCAATGTCACTCTTAGTCCACCTTAAATGCAGCTTGTAAAAGTTGGTAGCTAATGTCTAAGGAAGGGCTTCCTATGATGCTGCTGACTAGAAAGGTTGAGTGAGACACTGTTGTGTGCAGCCACTGGAGCATCCATTCTCGGGAGCTTGAAATCCCATATTGACCAAAGATGTGGCCTCAATAGTGCTTATGAAAATTGATTTACCATACAAGCTGATTGAGAGGTTGAGTTAGACCCTAAAGCCCAAATTCCAAGACTCATAATTTTCTTGATCACTTCAGCAACTCAAATAAAGATCATGAGTGTTGTTGATTTTATGTTAAACCCATCAGATAAACTATATCATAAATGACAATCTCCAACATCTTGTTGGATAAAAGCATATTTATTTGGTATCTACTTCTATAATAATTTAAATAGACAAGTCAATCCTAGGAATTATCGTCCATTTGCCTTTTCTGAGATAATTTGTGTACAACTTGGTCCTTAACTTTACAAAAATCATATTAAATTAGTCCTCTCAAGGATTATAGTGAGACAAATAATGGTTAACATGATACAACCTGTACATATTTAGCGACTAACTCTTGCACAAACAAATTCGAGGCTTTGTACAACTAATTCATACACAGACACATATCAGGACTAAACTATGAGATGGGAATAATTCCAAGTACTAAGTTACCTGTTCACTCTTTAAGTCAGAGCTGACTAATTAAATACAGAAATTTCAGGGATTTTATTGAGTCACCTTGACAAAAAAAAAAGTGAAATGTTTTCCTTCTCGTTTGCTTAAAACACATATAATTCCTTCATTTTAGTGAATTATAGAAAAGAAAATAGAAAACAACTTAGCCATAACCCAAGTACTTAGGATCATCACTCAAGGACCATTTCCATAAACAGTCAGGAGTTTGCACATTAATTTTCCATCTGTACTTATGCCAGGTGTTCCTATTTCTTCTGTCATTCTTTTGTGATCTCTGTTTAGTTATATTCAGGTTCCCTTACTATTTTGCTCCAATGCCTTTGTATCTAGTAGATAACTGGTAGATAATTCTATACTCAATAAATAAAACTCATGACAGATATATATAGTTGTGCCAAAAGTTCTTCATTTTTCTTCAAGCACAAATCATTTACGCAAATAATATCTAATCAGTTGTGCATCTGTAACAATAATATTCTACATACAGTAAAACTATCAAATACAAGAGAACAGAGTGTGGTAATGAGAATACTGGAATGAACAGGAAATAAGAGTAACAGACTTATTAATCAGATGCTCTGTGAGTGGTAGGGAAAGAAAGCAAGAACACATACCAGCAGTCACCAAGCATACCCAAGACTGCTCCAAGCTGGGAACATAACTCTGAAGTGTTACCAACTTTTTCTAATTGATCACGAATGTCTTCAGCACAGAGGTTGAGTCTTGATTTGGCACTTTCTAAGTTCTGAGCACGGAATGCCTGTTTTGCATTGCATATAGCAAAATACTCACTATCAAGTGGTAGTACAAACTCAACAAAGTTTAAATTGTAATTTAGTAAAACAGAAGGTAGTAGCTTCTCCAGTGAAACAGCTATTGACACCAATGTCTCTTCCAGATAAATATATTTTCCAACTCATCCAATCATATATAACAGTTTAGTATCTATCAAAAGTTATTAGCATCAACGCCAATTAAATTAAGGGCATGCAATTTCAAGAATCTTACACCATTTAATCGTTCATATATAATAAGATCCAACATTAATATTTGAAAAGGCCATACATACCCTCATGGCTTGTTGCACTAAGAAAGAACCTCTTTCCAAAGAAACATCCTCGTATATGACCTGTTTACTCTCTGTAGCTTCTTCTCCTTTGTCTGAACTAACAGACCTTTTGATCCTAGCATGACCTTCAATAAAGCGATCAACTACACCTTGAAGATCAGCATCAGGCTCAATCTTCACAATGTCAGCCCCACATAATGGACAGTCCTTAAAGCGGGATATGCATGATCTAGTTTCAGACAAGTAGAATATAAGAGATGAGCGTATGCTATTCATCATAGATTCAAGATATAAACACTGGACAAGGTACATACTTGCAGAAAACATGAGAACAAGGCACACATTTGCTGGTTTCAAATAAAAGAGCCTGGCACACTGTACAGCTAAGAGGACCAATCTTAAACGATTGTGAATCATATCCAAAAGGGCACTTTGGTGACGCACTAGCTGAGTCATTAGCCTCTTTCTTCACCTTACTATCAGACTCAACCTGATGTTTCATAGAGTTTTCACCCGATTTTTTGGAAGCATTGTTATCATCAGGGCGAGCAGCTTTGACAAATGGGCAAACTGGTGTCATATTCATCAAGAACAAGAGCCTGCCAAAACATAAAAACAAAGAGGCATTGTTATCATCCTTTTACTCTATTTATTTTAAGTAAAACTTTCTAAACAAATAACAGGTTTCCCAACCATTATCCTAAGAATAATAGTTAAGGAAACAATATAGTTTTTTTTATAAGAAATCACAGAACAGGCATTGTTTACATTAAATTCTACACATTTCAATTAAACTTTTCACTTGTGATTCCTTCTGATGCATTTGGTAAAAAGGTAAAAAATAGGATGGATCAAATGAAGAGAAAGAGTAAAAACAAGAGTATTTGGTTTAAGAGAAATATAAAATTTCCAGATAATTGATTCATTCAATAGTTGATTTTGCTCAACTTTATAACAGGTATCTTATATATGCAAGGTCTTCAACCCTATGTCTAAATAAAAGCTGCAGTTCAAATGATAATAATAATAATAAAAAAAAAAAACAACGTTAACAATCCGTCGACCTTATTTCTTCACCATATTTCCTTGAGCAATCGAAGCCTTGAATAAAAAAATAAATGTAAAACAAAAGTCATATTGGAAAAACAAATGCACCAATCCTCGTCAATTAGACATACATTTAAATCCTATCAATGATTTACACGGTGAACTTAATAATTCAATATAAACTCTCTTTTTTACTGCAAAGACAACATCTAAGGAAGAGTTCCTCAAACCTAGGAAGTAGCAATAACGCGAAAAATTGCATCACAGATGAACTTTTAAAATTTGCAAACCCCCTTGTGCCCCAATTATTTTAGAATCATCCACTTCCCAACTGGGTACATTGAATCAAAAACAAGATTCAATTTTTATCAAAAAAAGTAAAATAGAAATCCCTTTCCTTAATTTGCAGATTTAAAAAGGATGAAAATATTACAGTATCCAGGGAAGCGAAGAAACTAGATGTTGCAGAGAACGACGTCGTTGCAGCTGCTATGGTGTTCTTCTTCCTTCGTCTTTGTTTGTGTGAGGCAGATAATCGTTCGATGGTTCTCAGAAAATGTGGATGACGATGATGATGAAGTTGAAAGAACCTGTACTTTATATTTTGGTTTTTGGTCCCTAATTTGTTGCGTATTTCTAAGGCACCTACATTTTACCGGTTTTACTAATAATTAATTTAATTATCTTAATTCCTCCGGTTTTATCTCCCTGTTTGTTTGTTCGCTTAGACAAATTAACAGAAATTCATATTCTTCTTGTTAAGACCAACCCGAAAGTTATTCGTATAATGATCCCATACATTATTAAGGTCCTAAATTTAACTAGTTTGTGTGCTCTTTCAAATCAAAAATAAATACATACCCACAGTCTAAATGATTCTAAAACATAAGAGAAAAATTAAGAAGACATGGCATTAGACCCTTTAATTTTAATTTTGAAGTGTAACAATCATTTGGTTAGTTTTTTAAAATACTTTAAAATATATGTATTATAATTAATGGTTCTACCTAGGGATTAGTGTGTCAATAGATTTTCATTTTTAAAAAAGTTTTTAATTTTAATTTTAAATTTATTAATGAATATCAATAAAGTTCTTTTATGTTGACGTCATTTAAAAATTAATATGAATGATTAAACATGTTTTTATGACAAATTATATAGACGTTTTATATGAGAATTTTGTGTGCAAACTAAATTTATTTTAAAATTCATTAATGAAAATCATCAAAGTTCTTTTATGTTGGTACATTTAAATAGTTAATTGTTAAATGATTTAAACATGTTTGGAAATTATATAGGAGTCAATTGGAATTGAGACATTTTATGTGCAAATAATTATGGTGATCTGAGTTCTCAATAAAGAATTGGTCAAAAAGAGTTTTAACAATATAACTAAAAGAAAGTAAAAGAGAAGAGAAAATTGATCAAAGTTAAAAAAAATGAAAAAAAAAAAAACAAAAAAATGCGTGATAGTTTGGCAAAACAAAATCAATTGAATTCATAATTATAGAACATTATAGTTTTAAATAAAAAGTACTATATTGTAGTATACATTATCATAAAAAAATGTGAAAGTAACAGGTAAAGTTTGAGTCATAACAATTGAAAGGTATTGTTTGAAATTTCAGTTTTGTATAGTATACAAAATTAATTTATTATATACGTAATAATATATCTCCAAAAAAGTAAATTTAATAATTTAAAATGAAAATTTTGTGAAATTTTTTTAATAGAATTGTGATATATAAATTTGCAAGAGAATAGCTTGGATATTACTTTGGCTTAATACATTTTTTTCCCTCTTTAGGGAGGCAATGTTCAAGTCCGTCCTACCTTTTTTAAAAAGTTTAATTGAGTCCCAAGATTGTGAAAAAGAGGTACAATTAAATCTTTTTTTTGTCACGGCGTTAAAATTTATACGACCCAGCTGACAGCGTGGAATGATGTGTGCAACGTGACTTTTTAGGCTCATTTCAGTCTGACAGACACCAGTACAAGTGTTATTCATCAGTTTTTCCAGCAGCTTATTATTAACATATTGTTTTCACACATAAACCCTTTTCCAAACAAAGGTATTAGCACAAAAATGATTACGGAATAGATTTATGGTTCTTGACTTTCAGAAAATTGGTTCCTTAGGAAACAACTTTTATTCTTCACTTTGGTGAAATGGAAAAAGGCTGAAATTTATTTTATAATAACTTCAACTCTTTTTCAGAATAAAATATTCATATAAATTACTAAACTGAACTAATACAGTTATTGGCAATAATATATTATACATTTTTATTTTTAATAAATTTATAAAGTTAATAAAGGTTAAATATTGATATTAGTGAGTTAAATTTTATTTGAATATAACATAATAATTGTAATATTTTAATAAAAAATTAATGGATAATTCTGAAAAGTTATTGAAATAAAAAGATGTTATTTAATTTTAATAAAATTTATAAATTATTAGTTTAAATTTTTTTAAATTGAAAAATGTTAATTAATTATTTTTCAAATTAAAAAGCAACTTTTTAAAAACATAAATGATTTTACTATTAAATTTTATATATAAATAGGTTTCGTAGTTCTTTATTTGGATCCACAAATATATTGTGCTAAAGAAATAAAACAAATAAAAGTAGAATATTTAATTTTGATGTGAAAATTATTTAAACAAGAATGTGAGATTGGAAAGGAAAAAGAAGGGAAAAAATTAATTTTAAAAAGTGAAAAAAAAGACAATTTGATATTTTCTATGACATGGATATTTAATAATCCTTCATAGTTTGTCATAGGAACAGTTAAATGTTTAAAGGGTTTAAAAAATAATTAAATAAGTTATTGAAGAACTCCGATGTATGTTAGAAAGAAAAGGTGCTTTCTTTGAGTCTCGGCACCAAACGACGGGTTTGCATGCGTTTGAGAAATCCTGCGAGCACGCAGGCCATCAAAGAAGAGAAAGGAAAGGAACAATGTATTTGCGAAAGAGAAGGAGAATGATGATGGGGTTAAGGTGGAGTATGGTCGTAACGGTGACGTTCACATGGTTTTTGTGTTGTGTTTGGAACACTTCACGTCCAAGCCTCTAATTCTGTTTCCGCCTTCGTTCAAAACGCATCTCTCCACAGAATCACCGTTTTTAGCTTCAAGATCACCCAATTTGGAAGGCAGAGTGCTCCTCCAAAATGCTTAACCCAAATCGGATTTCTGAATCCAAACCCTACCACAATTTTTTACCACTGCCACGTCAACTTTAATGAATAATGTGTTACCCTTAATATGTGTTACCCTTATGCAGTAAGTATGGAACCTAAACAGCACGTTCATAATCACTCCACGCTGGTCAGCGGTCGTTAAATATTTAACGCCCGTGACCAAAAAGAATTTAATTTTTACACTTTTTCACAACTTAGAACTACATTGAACTTTTTAAAAAAAGGTAGGACGGACTTGAACATTGCCCCTAAAGAGGGAACCAAAAGAGGTATTATTAATGTCTATTTTCCTATAATATGACAAAATTATTTCATAGCTAAAAATTATTTCATATTAATGATATATAGTGATGTAAAACATACATGTATCAAATCATAACTAATTAACTATAATATTTTTCGTCGTTATTTCTTCACTAAATAGCAAGATATTAATGAGAAATAATTTTTCTCGCTAATTTTCCTAGCTAATTACCAATTTTGTTACCGTGTTTAAAATAATAAAATACTACTAAGTTTCATGTCATAGTAATTAATTATCCCTCATCTACATATTGTATCCTCTCTAACTCACTTATTATATTATCCCTACTCTTGCATAGACTACTTAGCTTGACAGCATAACATCTTATGCATTCATCACCACAATGTCTAATACTACATCCATACATGATGCCTCATTTGTATAATACGTCTACTTTATATAATTACACATATAGTCTATTTCGTGTAATTAGTTACTGTCTACTTTCTGCAATTACCCACAACATCAATGTAATTTGCACCTAACATTCATTGCTTTCAATGTTTATCACACTAATATTAAGCCTCTATCAAGGCCATCATCTAACCATAACTCTAACATCTTTAATTTGATTCCTACACTGTAGCATTTCTGTCCTACATTGATAATACTAAATAATCAAAATAATAGGTGGATGTAAAAAATAATACTTAAAAAAATTTTTTTTTTAAGTAAAAGAATTAATATTTTAATCTAATTTAAACAACTTTTTGTTGAAAGGAGAATTGTGAAACTCCAAGTCTTGTTTTTGATGCACATACATCAATTAAGTTTAGATAAGTAAATTAAGTCTAAAAAATGTTATAAGTAAAATGGCGATAAAATCAAATTAATTTCAACTAAGATAAGTTTTGATACGAAAAATATTTATTTCAAAACATGTACTAGTCACTAATTTTTGTATTATCCGATTAACTTACTAATATAATAAATTAAAACAAAACACATTTATAGGATTTCAAAACTAAAGATCATTAATTGATTAAGTAATTTCATAATCAATTAATATCATCGGTGAATAAATCTGTCTTTAAAATCAGCTCCTTACGCATTTTGAAAATTACGAGTTTTGATATAAAAAAAGCTAATATTATGAGATGGAGGTCGAAAACACGAATTTTGATATAAAAAAGCTAATATTATAGATAGAGGCCTTCTTGTGTTCTTGGAGGAAAGCATTGTTGTGTTTCTTTTAACTCTATTAGGTTGCTAACATTAGGAATGTCTTGTAATATCTAGCTTTTTCATGTAGACTCATTCATTATAACTTTATGATTTTTCAATTTTTTATATTGTTATCCCGGTGTAGGTGGTTAGTCTTCCAAAAATTATGTGAAACATTGCATTTTTAGTATGGTCTTGATAAGTACATCAAGTTCTTGATGTCTTAGTGTTTATAATTATTAAAAAAGTGCATTGTAATTTAGTAATTCTTTCAATATAGTGGAAATCTTCTAAGCTCAGGTTGTTTAGAACAAAAAAAACTAGATGAGTTCTAATTGATTTGAAACCGATATAAAGTGGATGCTTCCCTCCTTTGCTGCATCTACTCTTTCTTGTAATTGAAAATTTCAAACATCTCATATTTATATTGAAATTGATAAAAAAAAACATTTAAAGTTTTGGAAAAACCAATTCACGTCTCCCCTCTTCGTGGTGAATATACTAGCATGACAATAGTACACTATTTTAATCAATTTTTTCTTATTTGTATCACACCATCTATGTAAATTAGTAAATGTTAACTGATGGTAAGATACAAGGGTTTAAGTTATAAGGTAAAGTGTTTTAAATCTTCAGTTTAATCAAGGTAGTAGAAGAAAAACAATGATTTAAGTGATATTTATTATGCTATTTTAAGTGAAAAGAAGAAGTTAAAGAATGCATTATCAAGAACTTTTCATATGTAACATTTGTAACTACTTAAGGCTTTATGACTTTAACAACTCATTATGTTGATCAATCTCTTAAAAATTAAGTTATCTATATTTTATTAACAAGATAGTTCAAGCTTGTATGCTTGTATATAGAGTTCGTTGTATTGATTATGATATGGCAATAAGAGGAA